TTTCTTCCTGTAACAAGTTCGATCCGTTTGCTAACTAACAGGCATCCCATTATATCTTAATCGAAAAAAACGTGTTATCAGCTCTCTCGGAGATTACGAAGATCAGGCTTGAAGTACAGAGAGGATGAAGAAGAATGGCCGTGGCACCATCTGGCACTCGGCGACCATTTCTGGGACATCAAATTGACAGAAACTCTATAAAGCCAATAAAAACGAGGAAAACATATAACGTGGAAGATAAGGAGGTGAAGTAAAGAACAAACAAGGAAAGTAATAAAAGAGAAGGAGAAAGATTGAAAAGGAAAGGAAAGAACAAAAGAAAGGAAGAGTGGGAAGAATAGATAATTATGATACTAGAATCAGAGGCGAAGGAAAAGTTGTAGGCGAAGAAAGAGAAGAAAGAAAGAACTATGATAAAACACGGAAACTAAAGAAGGAAGGGAAGGACAATGATTGTGAGAGAAGAAAGCAGGAAAGGACAAGTATTGTGATGAAAGAGAAAACGAAGGAATAGTTGGAAAAAGGTCAAAGGACAGTGAAGGAAAGAAAATGGAAAAGAACACAAGGGCAAAGGACTGTGCTAGAAAAGAGAAAAACGAGGAGGAAAAGAAAAAAGAGGGAAAGAGGGAGGGAGACACACCATCGGCTGGACGGCCGCCAAGACCTCGGCCATCAAGGGAGCTTTATGGCCGAGTTGCGTCGACGAGATTTGGATCCAGTTTTGTTTTTCTTTTTCTGCATTCGCATGTGGCGTTTCTCTCTCTCTCTCTCTCTCTCTCTCTCTCTCTCTCTCTCTCTCTCTCTCTCTCTCTCTCTCTCTCTCTCTCTCTCTCTCTCTCCCTCTCTCTCTCTCGCTCTCTCTCTCTCTCTCTCTCTCTCTCTCTCTCTCTCTCTCTCTCTCTCTCTCTCTCTCTCTCTCTCTCTCTCTCTCCTCTCTCTCTCTCTCTCTCTCTCTCTCTCTCTCTCTCTCTCTCTCTCTCTCTCTCTCTCTCTCTCTCTCTCTCTCTCTCTCTCTCTCTCTCTGTCTCTCTCTGTCTCTCTCTGTCTCTCTCTCTCCCTCCCTCTCTCTCTCTCTCTCTCTCTCTCTCTCTCTCTCTCTCTCTCTCTCTCTCTCTCTCTCTCTCTCTCTCTCTCTCTCTCTCTCTCTCTCTCTTTCTCTCTCTCTCTCGGCCTCTCGACGCAGTTCTGGTTTGATTTGGCTCCTGAAAAGTCTTTCCTTTCCTTGGACGCTATCCTCCCTGTCCCCTTCGCTCTTCAACGCTGCCCTCTGGCTCTTCAATGCTTCTTTCTCTGGGTCTTAGATGCTCTCCTCTCTGTCCCCCTGGCTCCTGGACGGTCTCCCCCCTGTCCCCATAGCTCTTCAACGTTTTCCTCTCTGTCCCCCTGGCTAGTGGACGCTTTCTTCCCTGTCCCTCTGGTTCTCGGACACTTTCCTCCATCCCCTAATTCTTCAACACTTTCGTCTCTGTCTCTGTCTTTTGTCTCTTCAACTCTGTCCCCCTGGTTCTTCAATATTTTCCTCTCCATCCACCTGCCTCTTCAACGCTTTCCTCCCTCTCCCTCTGGCTTCTGGGCGCTTTCCTCCCCGTCCCCCTGGCTCTTCAATGCTTTTTTCCCTGTCTCCCTGGCTTTTGGACGCTTTCCTCTGTGTCCTCCTTTCCCTGACTCCACTTTCCACTTTCCTCCATGTCCCTCTGGTTCTTAAACGCTTTCCTCTCTGTCCCTCTGGCTCTTCAATGCTTTTCTCCCTTTCCCCCTTGCTTTTGGATGCTTTCCTCTGTGTCCTCCTGGTTTTGGATGCTCTCCTCTCAGTCACCCTGTCTCTTCAATGCTTTCTACTCTTTCCCCCTGGCTCTAACACACTTTCCTTTCTGTCTTACTGGGTCTTCAATACTTTCCTCCATATCCCTCTGGTTCTTCAACGCTTTCCTCTCTGTCCCTCTGGCTCTCCAACGCTTTCCTGTCCCCTGGCCCTCCAACAGTTTCCTCTCTGTCCCCCTGGCTCTTGAACAATCTCCTCTCTGTCCGCTATGCTCTTCAGTGCTCTGCTCACAGCCCCCTTGACTTTTCAATGCTTTAATGTCCCCCTGGCTCTTGAACATTCTCCTCTCTGTTCCCTAGTCTCTTCAATGCTTTCCTCTCAGTCCCCCTGGCTAATCAACGCTTTCCTCCCTCCTCCCTGACTCTTCAACGCTTCTCTTTCTGGCCTTCCAACACTGTCCTCACTGTTCCCCTGGCTTTTCAACGCTTTTCTCTCTCTCTCCCTGGCTCTTAGATGCTTGGACACTCTCCCCCCTGTCCCCCTGGTTCTTCATTGCTTTCCTTTCTGTCCCCCTGGCTCTTCAACGCCTTTCTCGCTGTCCACCTGCCTCTTCAATGCTTTCCTCTTAGATGCTTGGACACTCTCCCCCCTGTCCCCCTGGTTCTTCAATGCTTTCCTCTCTACCTCCAGGCTCACCAATGATTTCCTCCTTGTCCCTCTGGGTCTTCAACGCTTTCCTCCCTGTTCCCCTGGCTTGTAGATGCTTTCCTCTCTATCCACTTGGATTTTGAACTCTCATCTCTGTTCCCCTGTCTCTTCAACGCTTTCCTCCCTGGCCCCCTGGCTTTTCAACGCTTTGCTCTCTGTTCTAATGGCTCATTAACACTTTCCTCCCTGTCCCCCTGGTTCTTCAACGCTTTCCTCTCTGCCCCCATAACTCTTGGACGCTTCTCTCTTTAACACTTTCCACCATGTCCCGCTGGCTTTTCAATGCTTTCCTCCGTGTCCCTCTGGCTCTTCAGTGCTTTTGTGTCTGTTCCCCTGGCTTATCAATACTTTCCTGCTGTCCACCTGGCTCTTCAACACTCTCCTCCCTGTCCCCCTGGCTCTTCAATGATTTCTTTTCTACCCTCAGGCTCCTCATTGCTTTCCTCTCTGTTCCCCTGGTTCTTCAACGCTTTCCTCCATGTCCCTCTGTTACTTCAATGCTTTTCTCTCTCTCTCTCTCTCCCTCCCTCTCTCTCTCTCTCTCTCTCTCTCTCTCTCTCTCTCTCTCTCTCTCTCTCTCTCTCTCTCTCTCTCTCTCTCTCTCTCTCTCTCTCTCCCTCTCGCTCTCTCTCTCTCTGGTTCTTCAACGCTTTCCTGTCTCTCAGGCCCTCCAAAGCTTTCCTGTCTCCTCCAGGCCCTTGAACAGTCTCCTCTCCGTCCCCTCGGCTCTTCAACGTTTTCTCTCTTTTCCCCAGGCTCCTGGATGCTTTCCTATCTGTCCCTGACTCTTGAACACTATCCTCTCTGTCCCCTAGACTCTTCAACGCTTTCCTCCCTTTTCCAAGGCTCTCTGTCCTCTCTACCCTCCTGGCTCTTCAACGCTTTTCTCACTGTCCCCCTGGCTCTTCAACATTTTCCTCTCTGTCCCCTTGGCTCATCAACGCTTTCCTCCCTTTCCCCCTGGTTCTTCCATGCTTTTCTCTGTCCCCCTGGCTCCTGGACGCTCTCTCCCCTTCTTCCCTGGCTCTACAACGCTTTCCTCTGTCCCCTTGGCTCTTCAATGCTTTCCTCTCCGTTTCCCTGGCTCTTGGACGCTTTCCTCCCTGTCCTCCTGGCTCTTCAACGGTTTCCTCTCTGCAGAGGCTCTTCATTGCTTTCCTCTATGTCACACTGGCTCTTCAACGCTTTCCTCTCTGTCCCTCTGTTTCTTCAACGATTTCCTCCCTGTTCCCCTGGCTCTCTATCCACCTGGCTCTTGAGCACTCTCTTCTCTGTTCCCATTGCTCTTTAACGCTTTCCTCTCTGTCCCCTGGCTATTCAACGCTTTCCTACCTGTCCCCCTGGCTTTTCAACGCTTTCCTCTTTATTCTCCTGGCTCTTGGATGCTTTCTTTCTTGTCCCTCTGGCTTTTCAGTGCTTTCCTCTCTGCCCCCTGGCTCTTCAACGCTTTCCTCTCTCTCATCTGGCTCCTGAATGCTTTTTTTCCCTGTCCCACTGGTTCTTCAACGCTTTCCTCTCTATCCCCCTGGCTCCTCAACACTTTCCTTTCTGTCTGCCTGGCTCTTCAAAGCTCTCCTCTTTGTTCTCCTGGCTCTTAACGCTTTCCTTTCTGCCACCCTGATTTTGAACTCTCATCTCTGTTCCCCTGTCTCTTCAACGCTTTCCTCCCTGTCCCCCTGGTTCTTCAACGCTTTCCTCCCTGTCCTCCTGGCTCTTCAATGATTTCTTTTCTACCCTCAGGCTCCTCATTGCTTTCCTCTCTGTTCCCCTGGTTCTTCAACGCTTTCCTCCATGTCCCTCTGTTACTTCAATGCTTTTCTCTCTCTCTCTCTCTCCCTCCCTCTCTCTCTCTCTCTCTCCTCTCTCTCTCTCTCTCTCTCTCGCTCTCTCTCTCTCTCTCTCCCTCCCTCTCTCTCTCTCTCTCTCTCTCTCTCTCTCTCTCTCCCTCCCTCTCTCTCTCTCTCTGGTTCTTCAACGCTTTCCTGTCTCTCAGGCCCTCCAAAGCTTTCCTGTCTCCTCCAGGCCCTTGAACAGTCTCCTCTCCGTCCCCTCGGCTCTTCAACGTTTTCTCTCTTTTCCCCAGGCTCCTGGATGCTTTCCTATCTGTCCCTGACTCTTGAACACTATCCTCTCTGTCCCCTAGGCTCTTCAACGCTTTCCTCCCTTTTCCAAGGCTCTCTGTCCTCTCTACCCTCCTGGCTCTTCAACGCTTTTCTCACTGTCCCCCTGGCTCTTCAAAATTTTCCTCTCTGTCCCCTTGGCTCATCAACGCTTTCCTCCCTTTCCCCCTGGTTCTTCCATGCTTTTCTCTGTCCCCCTGGCTCCTGGACGCTCTCTCCCCTTCTTCCCTGGCTCTACAACGCTTTCCTCTCTGTCCCCTTGGCTCTTCAATGCTTTCCTCTCCGTTTCCTTGGCTCTTGGACGCTTTCCTCCCTGTCCTCCTGGCTCTTCAACGGTTTCCTCTCTGCAGAGGCTCTTCATTGCTTTCCTCTATGTCACACTGGCTCTTCAACGCTTTCCTCTCTGTCCCTCTGTTTCTTCAACGATTTCCTCCCTGTTCCCCTGGCTCTTGGATGTTTTCCTCTCTATCCACCTGGCTCTTGAGCACTCTCTTCTCTGTTCCCATTGCTCTTTAACGCTTTCCTCTCTGTCCCCTGGCTTTTCAACGCTTTCCTCTTTATTCTCCTGGCTCTTGGATGCTTTCTTTCTTGTCCCTCTGGCTTTTCAGCGCTTTCCTCTCTGCTCCCTGGCTCTTCAACGCGTTCCTCTCTGTCATCTGGCTCCTGAATGTTTTTTTTCCCTGTCCTACTGGTTCTTCAACGCTTTCCTCTCTATCCCCCTGGCTCTTCAACACTTTCCTTTCTGTCTGCCTGGCTTTTCAAAGCTCTCCTCTTTGTTCTCCTGGCTCTTAACGCTTTCCTTTCTGTCACCCTGTTTTTCAGTGCTTTCCTCTCTATCACCCTGGCTCTTCAATGCTTTCCTTTCTGTCTGCCTGGCTCTTCAACGCTGTCCTCCCTGTTCCCCTGGCTCCTCAATGCTTTCCTCCATGTCCCACTGGCTCTTCAATACTTTCGTCTCTTTCCCTCTGGCTTTTGGACGCTTTCCTCTGTGTCCTTCTGGCTCTCAAACGGTCTCCTCACTGTCCACCTTGTTCTTCAATGCTTTCTTCTCTGTCTTCCTGGCTCTTGGACGCTTTCCTCCCTCTCACCCTGGCTCTTCAACACTTTCCTCCATGTCCTCCTGGCTCCTCAATGCTTTCCACTGTCCCCCTGTCTCTTTGAAGCTCTCATCCCTGTCTCCCTGGCTTGTAAATGCACAGATCTCGTTCAGTTTGGCTGATTTTTTTTATTATTTTTTTTTTGGGGGGGTGGAGGGGGTCCTTAACGGATTTTCTCTTGATATTGATTACTTTAAACAAAATACACATATATTCTCTCTGTATGATAGTTTATGTATGTATGGTGGAGGATATATATGTTTTTTTTTTTGTGTACGTCGAGTTTAAAATCCTTTGATGATAATTCTTTGTAACAGTATTATAGTCAGTATTGCAGTGAATTTCATGTATATCATAATGATATTACACACTTAATGTCTTAAAATGTAAGCCTCTTAGCCGTTGCCGTAGTCGTAGACAAAAATCGTCAGTCGAAGATAATTATAAGGAATCACACACAAATTTCCGGGTTCAAATACTGTTGAAGATAACTCTCCATAAGTAATGCTAAGGGAAGCTTGGGAGGCCCTTTCGATGTGATGTTATTTGAGCTGTTAACTCTACTTTCAATTGGAAAGATACAGATGGCGACGCACGCCTTTACAGCTGACAAAATGGCAACAAATCTAGAGGTGCCATGTTTACATTAGAGACATTAAATGAGTAGTAGTATCGTCATGACTGAGATTAATTGCAGTACTTATTTCATCATATCATTACAAAGAATTATCTTGACAAGGTCAATAATGATGTAAAGGTTAGTTCTATTTAGCATTTAGCTTTGATATGTGGCAACACTGCGAGTCATAGTCGAAACCGCTAAGAACAGCCTAACTAGACCTTTCTTGAATACCTTCCTTGGTACTTATGATTTCTGCAAGAGCAAATTACAGATGTAGATATGCACATATAATTTCACACGATAAAATATTGCCTTTTTAGCACAACCGTATTTATATCTTTACCTAGACCATTAACATTGCCATATATATCTTACATGCCTTTACAAGGAATTTGATATTGCTTTCATCCCGGTCTGTCAATATTCAATACTTTTTATGATCAGAGAAACGCTTATTTTATTTCGGTTCTTACATGCGTATTATTGTAAGTTTATTCCACTTTTTGTCTATATTGTATGGTAATTAGACCAAATGACATTGCTTAATGCGTTAAATTGTTAATGAGATTCACCTCAAACATCGATAAATGATGATGATAACAGCAATTACAACAGCAAAAACGAAGATAGTGATGATGATTGGTAATAATTACAATTAATTACAATTAAAATTGCTGTTTCTACTACCATTTATTATTATCATAACTGCTTCCAATAATAATTATGATAACGATGATGTTAATATCTTTTTATTGCTATTATTGCTGTTATTATTATCATCATTACCATCATTAGTAGTAGCGGTAGTAGTAACGTCATTTTCATCATCAACATTATCCTTAGTAGTAGTAGTAGTATAACTATCAATGTCATTATTAGTAGTAGTATTAGTACAATCATCACCATCGTCATTATCATTATCAATATTATTATCATTATCATCCCTGTGATTATAATAGTTGTAAATATTCTTATTATTGCAATTATCGTTGTTGTTATTATTAGTAGTAATAGTAGTAGTATTGTTGTTGTTTTTGTTATTATTATTGTGATTATATTATTATTCCTATTATTATTGTTGTTGATAGCAATATTAGTAGGGGTTTCATAATCATCATAATTTTTGTTATTAATTATTTATTATTATTATTAATATTATTATTATTATTACTATTATTATTATTATTATCATTATTATCATTAATTTTAAATTTAATATTAGTACTATTATTATGTTGTTCTGTTACATTCATTATTCTCATTGTATCGCTCAACTCTCATCTATCAGGGATGGTTCCAAACACTCCATGAGTAGAATAATTTATTCACCTTGTAGCAGAACCAGATCAAGATTCAGTATAAGTTTTATTCAACCTGCAAACAATAATTCACTGAAGCAGCAACAAAACAAAACAAAAAAAAAAATCCATAACAATGAAATCATAGGAAAGATTGAATGATAAAGAGTAGCAAAAAAAACATTTAAATTTTCATTAATAATAATTATCACTGTACTACTCAAACACAAAAATATGAATCATATTGATCTATGGAAAAAAAATTGTTACCAAGTTTAAAATATCATATTTCTTATAAAGGATTAAAACACTTACATCATGGCACCTTGTCCCTGAAAGATGGTTTTAATCGTGGACTGTCGATTTTAATCAAATTCATCCTTGAATTAAATAAAATTCAGCCTCATGTCTCAGCTCTGTCAATCACCAAGCTGTAGAGAAGGAACACAATACATTCATGATGTATCATATGCTTATAACATTTTATACAACGACAAATTCAAACCACAGAGATTAGCATTCATTCATTTAATCTCATCAATGCATCTACTTTTGTACTAAAGCATAAATCTAAACCAGACCTTTCAGTTTTTTCAATAATACATTCACGAATAAAGTATATAGTCATATAATATTCCTACCTGATATTTACACATCAAATTTTGTCTAAAATTTAAATTCTATATTGAAGAGCTGTTCACAACTTAAATTGTACAAGCTTTTCTCTTCATTCCAATACCACAACATAAATTCCAACGTTTTTACAATAACACATATCATTCCATATTACTCTCCATAATAATACACCCATTTTCATTATTAGTATAGTAATAACAATAATAATAATAATTATCATTATTACCATCATTATTATTACCACCATCGCCATCATCCTAACAACCTCTCCAACACTAGTAACACAACAGCCCCCCCGCTTTCTCCCATGACGCCGCCTCTCTCCCCAGGTTTCATAACCTCGACGGAGCTGGGGATCTACAACCTGGTGCCCAACACGGAATTCAACACCTACTGGATCCCCTGCACGTGGTTCACGGCACTCCTCAAGGACGCCAAGGCCCAGAAGAGGATTACGGATCCATTAGGGATCAAACATATAATGGAGGTAGGAATTTGGCCTTACCTTTCTCTTCGGCCTTAGTCTTGTTCCTTCCCCGCTCCCTTCGTTTTAGGTATATATTTTTTTTAATCTCTCCGTTATTCTCGTCTCTTTCTGTCTTTGTTTTGTATTATTTCGTCGTTTTTTTTTACATATATGATCTCTTTTTTTATACCTTATTTTTTAAATTCTTGTTTTCCTATTGCCTCTCTCCTCTCCTCTTTCCCTTGCTTTCCCGGCCGCCATTTTTTCTTACCCATTTTCGACCCGTTTTCCCAAAGACCCGATGTTGTAAAACTTTTATTTTCAGTGTCTATTCTGTCTCTTAGAATCAAACATATAGTAAAATAACAAACGCTTAAAAGATACTGTTTTTTGTGCCTTTGCTTTCATGTTTGTATCAGTGTATCAGTCTTTTTATATATATGTTTAATTTTGCTTCATGCACAATAGATTACATAGAGTAGCTATTTATGATTATTTTTAGTCTGTTCTGTTTCATTATGGAGTCATATATATATATGTATATACAGATTAATTAATATTTCACTTGCATGTTATATGAAATTATTAAATGAAAGCACCACTTCCTATTCATGTATTTTTTTATTATTATTATCATTATTTTTATGGTTATCTTTTTTTCTTATTATTTCTGTAGGTTTTAATTGTTTTCAATTGTTATTATTATTTTTGCATCCATTTGATAAAGTGTTCCCTAGCTCCCGCTTCATCAAAACCCTTTCTAAACTGTAGAGCAGTTTCTCCAAATCTAAATCATAAGAAAAGGCAATGTTATGCATATTAAATAAAAAAAAACAATCGGTGAAGCAAGTCTTATGCTTTAGCATATATGAATGCCATTCGAAAAAAGTGTAAAATTCAAAATCAAAAGCACATCAGTTATATAAAAAGCGAGGACTTTGGCTGGGCTTGTAGACCTTCTATTGCTTTCAAAAAAGAAAACATGTGTTGGCTTATGTCCACGTTGCGCCATTATGGCGTTTTGTCCAGCGATATACTGTTGTTAACCGCCCTTATGTCTATTCTTATCTGTTATCAATTTACCCCCATGTGCATTTATTCTTTTTATCTTTATTTTTTTCCCTTTTCTTTTGTTTTCCTCTTTTTGTAACCGGGAAGATTTTTTTTTATTTTCTCTATTTTTGTTCTTTTTTACATAAACTGCTCTTTTTCAATATCCAGTGAAGCTAGCAATAATTTAATATCAAAATGTAAAGCCGACGAATTATTTATCACCAAAAATATCATATAA